GGGACGCATCCCTGCTCCCAAATGCGGTTGATTTCATCAGTGAGAAATTCAATGGAGCCGTCTTCCAAGTTTCGGAGCGCCCTGTTGGAGATGCCATCGGAGCCTGGGGCCGATCTACCGTTGAGGTTCTGGAGAACTTCCCTGACCTCGTTGACGGTGAAAGGCTCGTTGAGCTCCAGGCAGGGGGGGGGGGGGGGGTCTTATAGGACGGGTAATCCGCCGGGCTCGAGGTACCGATAGGTGGGTATTTGTTTGTCAGCACGTCCAAGATGGCGTCTTCCGTCTCGGACTGCCTGGCCTCGTGGAGGACTCTGCTAATAACCCGACTATGATTGGACTCGTTCACCAGGTGCTGAGTTGGACTCGTTCAGCAGGTGCTTGAGTAGATTCCACTTACCGCCGACTCGCATTTGACCATCGACCGAGTTGTACACCTCGTCCCTTTGCTGTCTGGTGAGGGATTGGCAGTGGTCTTCGATGGTTCGGTTGAGCTCCGCAATCTTCTTGCGGAGCCTGCAGTTGAGTCGTTGCCCCTTCCACCGGTCAAAAAACGCCTTTTTTGCCTCCAGAAGGTGTGCGAGGCGGTTGTCCATTATATCGATCTCTAGGTCCGTCTGGACCGTCTTTGTTGCCTATTTGACGTCTCCTTTGAGCTGCGTCGCCCAGCGCTCCAGGTCGATAGACGAGTCCTGAATCAGTGCCCGCTCCTCCCTGCTCTTGCGAAACTGATCCCAGTCCGTGATGGTAAATTCTTTAAGCGGTTTGCTCTTCACGTTTATGCAAGTGGCAAGTATGTTGTGATCCCTGCCTAAAGCTTCGTTTAGATTGTGCCAAGACACAGCCCTGACGTTCTTTACAAAGATCAAATCCGGCGTGGTGTCCCTCAAACATGAGTTGCCGATCCTGGTAGGGAACGCGGGGTCGGTGACGAGCGTGAGGTCGTGATTTGCCGCCACCTGCCAGAGGTCGTCTCCCTTGCGCGTTGCTCGCGAGTAACCCCACGCTCGGTGCGGGGCGTTAAGTCGCCGGCAACGATGAGAGGGGAACCACCGGCTTTACCAGCTGCCCTGTTAAAGAGCGGTGCGAACCTCTGCTTTAGATCCTTAGGTGAGATGTAGATGTGGAGTATAAAGATGCTACATTTAAGCCGACCACTCGGAATTATTTCAACAAAGGAGTGCTCAACCTTGCTGGAGTCTAAAAAAAGATCATGCGTAATAAAAGTGCATCGTTTGAAGACGAGCGTACAGATGCCCCTCTTTACTTCACTGTAAACGACGTGCGATCTGTAACCCGGTAACGTGACCGCGTCGGAAAGTGTTTCCTGAAGTAAAATGACGTGTGGCTTTTCCGAATGAGATCTAATGAACTGCTGGAGGACAGCCCTCTTGCACTGAAAACCCCAGCAATTCCATTGCCAGATTTCAACTGCTTTAAGATGAGCCTCCATGACTGGATATGCCAGTTAGCCTATCCTGTACAAGGTGTAGCCGCTTGGAGGTGTTGGGCACCAAAAGATGCCGAGTTTCCGGTGGGAGAAGGCTCATTGTTCGCAAGAGCACAAAACTCCATCGTCCCTCTCCTCGCCTCCAAAGTGCCCACCCTGGCCTCCAGCGCGTTGAACTTGCCGTCAAGCACATCTACTTTAGCGTTAAGCATCGCAACCGCTTGGCTGAGTGATTTGAGCATAGCCCTCATTTCAGTCTGAAATTCCTCTAGTCCCTCATCACGAACGGGCTTCGTTAGGGCCCTTTTTTGGCCGTACGCGCCTCGGAGGGCGCCTCGACGGGAACCTTTATGGGTGTTTCCAACCTCGCGGGTTTCGGAGCCTGCGGAGACGACGAAGCCTCGCACTCGCGAGCCGACCTTAATTCTGCCATCTCTGACCTGAGTTGTTCAATAGCGCCCCTCAGCGCCGCGTTTTCTTTTTCCAACTGTACGAGTCTGGTGTTGTGTTGCCCAGGCGGCGTAGCCCCCATTACTTTTGTCGGGGATCCTTTGACGCGATCGGCCCATCCGGTCTCCTGGGCAGCAGGCTTCCGGATCCGAACGGCCGAGCCCCCGGAGCGTGAGCGGCCACCGGAGCGAGAGCGCCCACCGGAGGCAGCCTGCGGCAGTCGGACCCTGAATCGCCCTCTCGAGAGCACCCTGGTTATGCCCGGCCCCCGGGATCCCCTCCCGGCCCGGGGTGGAAGGGCCGGTCCAGACAGCGTGCCCATCGGCGGAAAATTCTGGTTGTAGTCACGTCGTTCTTTTCTTCTCTGTCTTACGATGTAAGGCACTTGATATCTCTGCTTACAGGACTTGTCGGCCGTGGGGTGAGGCCCCCCGCAGAGGGCGCACTTCGGTGAACAAACATGTTGGTCGCTTGGGATATTTACTCCGCAGCCCCTGCAGACCACGTTTTCAGGAGTCGGGCATACGTCGGCTCGGTGACCGAGCCTGCCACATGTGTAGCAGACCTTCATTTGTCTTCGGTAGAGCGTGCATCTGAGCATACTGAGGCCGCACATGACGTGGTTCGGCACTTTGATTCCGTCAAAGAGAATGACGACTGTGGTGGAATTCTTGATTCTACTAGCTTCGAGAGCCTTGGGGTTCCTCGGCTGTATGATGAGACTTCAAAGTTGCTCGTGATCTAATTCCAGGTCAATGCTTCTCATGATCCCCTTGCACGTGTTGTCGGGCGCAGCGAGGTAGGAGCTGACCTGGTAGATTGCTGAGCTAATGAAGATGGCTTCAATCCCCGCATAGGTCTTGGCATTGTGTTCTGAAGGTGTGCTGACCACCAAAATGTTTTGCGTGGCGTTGGGGCAGATGATGTCTTGCGCGGCATTCGTGAAAGAGAGACCCGCCGCATTCACGAGAGCCTGGGCGACCTTGACTTGACTAACATTTTTAACGTTTAGGCCACCCCGAGGTCGGACGATGACTCCAAAGTGGTCCTTCGGCAGGCCAGGCATTCTCGAGGCAGCTACAATGCGTTTCTTCACGCTGGCGGGAGTGCGGGAGCCGCCATTGCTACTGCCACTTGGTGTGTTGGCGGGCTGCTCGCTCTCGGCGGGCAGGCACTTCCGGGAAGATTTGCGCATGGTAAACGCCGACTGCCAGCCGGCGCACTGAAATTCTTATGTAGAAATGTCTTCCCCCTCCACTGCAACTTGCATGGCCATCTTAATCAAAGCAAACGAGGTCGCACGGGAGTGAGCCCGGCGAGCCTCCACCGGGAAGGTAGGCCTATGGTGTGAGGCTTAATGCGTCCGTGGTGCGGTCGAGCAAAAAGTATTTTTAAAAACTGGCAAAAAATCCACCCACCGTGGAAACTTTCGTATCGGCGTGGTCTGGACGACTTTAGGCGCCGAAGGAGACAAAAATCACGAAGAAAATATGAGACTTTTCGACTAAAAACAGTTCTAGGTTGATCGAAGAAGCAGAGCGCCGCTGCTACTGGGGGGCTATGTTGCGCTTTTAGCACTCCCAGGAGACTACGGAGAGGGAAGTGACGTCAACGACACAGCAAACGCAGATTGGGTGTTGATTTCGTTTTCTTCTGTCAACATCCAATCTGCGTTTGCTCTAGTCGTTGACGTCACTTCCCTCTTCCAAGTCTCCTGGGAGTGCAAAAAGCGCAACATAGCCCCCAGGCTTCATCCTCTTCTTTTTTCTCGAATTACAAATTAATTATATTACGCAACGGCCTATCCAAATATAAGGTTCCCTCACCTGACGGCCCCACGTAAGGCTCGCTAACGCAGCGTCCTCCCAAAACTATTGAAAATATATGCTTCAAGAATTTCGCGAATGCCTCTTTTTTGTATCTTACAATTATTGCCCCGCCCTGAAAAGTTGGTGAACACGAACAAAAGCTGCAGTGTAAAGGGAGGTGACCCCCCACCATTGATTTCAGGGATCTGTCATGTTCGGTTTGGCTGTCATTTACGTACCGACCAGTCTGACCAGCAGAACTTCTACCACATGTCAGTGGGATGTTGTACCTGCACAAACTGATTTAGTGCATCTTTTACGATCGTTTTGTAATATATCTGTTCAAATTGAAATGGAACACCCGGTGCTTTGAATGACATTTACTCTCCTGTCTATTTTTCGTCTTCTTGCTTAAGTTTTTTTTTCTTTCTTGCATATATATGTATAGTATATGAATGTAAGGACCTTACACACACACACTCACACACACACACACACACACACATATATATATATGTGTGTGTCTGTGTGTGTGTGAGTGTGTGTGTGTGTCTCCCCAGCTAAGCGAATTCAAAACAAACGGTACACAGAGAGCTGGTCAAAACTTCAGTCGCCAAAACCAGTGGCCGAGATAGTCTAATTGGTTAAGGCGTCGCTTTGGAGAGGCAGAGGACGCGGGTTCGATGCCCGCTTCTGGCACAATTTTTCACCAGCTCTCTTTCACTTTCCCTAGCTTCCCCTACCTTTGATGTAATATGTTTAATATTCACTATCTGCAATCTTCGTTTACAATATTACTACGGCTGCACTTTTCAACCTTCCCTCATTCCCAATATAATATATATATCTATTGAGAATTGGGAATGAGGGAAGATTGACAAATGCTGCCGTTACTGGTTGCGTTCCTGGGACCAGAGCTTTCGGCGGCGCGGACGGTGGCACATATGCGTTGAGAGCCGACGGCAGCGGAATCCCCTCCCACCGTTCCTCCCCCGGCTGGCGGGCGCTCTCCTTTAACCTCCCCCTTTCCACTTTTCCGCTAGGTCCACTCCTCCTCCCCTTCTCCGCGGGCTCGCCCCCCTTTCCGCCCCTGTCCGCCCCCGCTCCTTTCCCGGCTTCCCCTCTTCTCTTCACCCCCAGGAATTCCAGAGCTCGGTGCCTGTCGGGATAAAAACACTGTACGAAAAACACTGTACGTTGCAAGTCGAAAGATGTGTTGTATTGTCCGTCTTCCATGTTTTACTCTTTCTAGTAAATAACTTTATCACCAACGCGCTCAACAAAAGCACACTCTTTTATTTCTCATTCCATAACTGCATGAGATCTCTGCCTAAAGGCATCTCGTCAATCCTGGCTTGCATACGTTGGATCTGCGCCGGTGTAAATAACTCCTTCGAGTAATTCATCTTTCCTTTCCGAAATAGCTTAAAGTCATTCTCTTCATCCCTCTCTTTTCCGGCATTGTTGCCCTTGACCATAGGTGCGGACAGACCACCGAATTGTCTTGAGAACACCTGCGCTCCCGGTTCCAGGACGCGGCTCATGAAGTCAAAGCTGCTTTTGTTCAAGACCTCCCGCAACATCTCTTGGTCACACTCGAGCATCTTTCCGCGCTCTTCGCTCAGAAAATAGGCGAGTTTCAGGATCATTCCAGGGGTATCCGCTTTCAATTGCTCGTACGTGAAGAAAAAAACGTTCGGGTCGTCCTTGCGGGCGTACCCGTGGAGCACGTGATCGAAGTAGTCCCCGTAGCATAGGTCTCCCGTCACGAAAGCCTCGAAGAAGTCGTCGAACGTGCCGCCTTCGAACTGGAACTGGGCTATGCCCCGCATGAAATGGTAGAGCGACACACACGTGTCCCACGGATTCCGAGCGACGTATACGTACTTGGCCTTGTTGTTGAAGTTCTGCAGGAGCAGTTTCTGGTGGGTCCCCATCACCCTCGGCAAAGGTGTGCCCTCTAGGGCTTCCGAACCGTGGTTTTCCAGGTGGGGAGATTGTCTGATTAAGTCTGGAAAGCTGGTCACTCCCTGTCCGCGACCTAGGATGAGTTGGATGATGTGCAGCGTCCAGTGGGTCCCGCTCTTTGGGTAGGTCACGACGACAATGTCTCCGTCGCTCGGTCTGTGGACGAGAGCCTTGCGGGCCATAGCGGGAGGGACGAGAGGAGAGTGTCTGACGCCATCGACGAATTGAGAGAGAGGAACTCGGCGCTGACGATCCATGACAGTCGAAAGTCGCTGTGATCGGACCTGCGGAGTAGACCTGATTCTTGTTAGGCTGCTCGTGGTAAGGGTCAGTTGGCCTTTATCTCTGCCCTATATATACCCTTTGAACTACCATATACGTGTACCTATATGATGGTTTTAAAGATTTATATAGTGCAGAGATTACCACCGTATACGTGTACGTATATAATGCTTCTAAGGATATACACAGTGCAAACATTACCACCATATACGTGTACGTATATGGTGGTTCAAAAGATATATATAGTGCAGAGATACTGGCCCACTGACCCGAACTACTATCTTGACAAAGGAACACATCCATTAAAGGGAGTATTCACAAGGGGCAGAAATCCCTCCCTTTGCTTCCCGGGATGCAAGCCACATGGGAAGTTTCACGCAACGTTTAGAAAGAAAGCAGCTTCAAGTTTATTGGAAGCGTCAAAGGGGCAACCGCGCGACGTGTCCGATCGAAAACTTCCGGTGGACACGTTCCCTGACAAATGTGACCTTAACCCGTGACAAGGAGCAGTTATAATATTAATACAAAGTACGGACAATCACGCACAAAGTCACACCGTATTTACTTCAAGTCGGTCCAGATCCAGTGTCAAAAGTGCGTTTTAACGGTGCTCCTTGTCCTTGTGTACGTTTGCTATCACCGACAACACCAGTTACTCACTGTGACGCGCCGTCATGTAAGGCGTTAATCCTTAGGGAAAACCGGTTTGCCACTGATCAAGCGCTACGCATTCGAGCATAACCTCGCAGAGACGGCAACTGACCTCGGAATATACGTGGGATGCCGAAGGAAGCACGAAGCTGATCGACGCTCGTATTCGGAGAACTCGAAGCCAGGTAGCCCCAGGGTGGCAACTTTCGCTCCTCTGGACGCCCGAATGTCGTTCAGTACAGGATTATATAGGGTACGCACCGAGAGTGGGAACAAATGGGAGAAAATTTGAGTGCAGCTGGGCAAGATCGGAGGACTACGTACGGTGCGCCAATCAGCCGAAACGCGTACTGCGCGCATGAGAGGGGAAGACTCTCAGGCTCATTATGCGTGCGACGCAACTCCGTTTCGCGCATATGTTGGTTCCCGAAAGTAGGTGCACTGTGCATTCCTACAGCTGGAACTTATAGTCGGTCCGAATGGGCGCCTGGTGTCCCCGCTCTAGAGGATAATATATACACAGGGTGTTCCAGAGAACGCAGGCCAAATTTGATAGTGCGAAAAACACGCACCAGAAAAAGGCTTGTGTTGTTTTGGTACTAAGCCAGGGGCATATTTAGGAACATTCGGGGCAATTAAGTTAATTATTTTCGCGTAATTATTTTGTGATTATTGAGTATAAGGGCACTGATTCATTTGGAAACTTGCTGAGCGTCATCGAAAAACTCTAAATAAAAAGTTGGAGTGCGATAGAAGGCACGCGTGTGAACCTGCCGCCGATTTTTATATGACGATGGTTTAGTGTATACTTGACGCCTATTTTTTCATATACAGCTTGGTTGTTAAACGTCCTCTCAATTTTCCCCCAGCCATTTTTTTAAGTCTCAGGAGTTTTCTAAAGTTTGATGCCCCGCTCTTCACGGGGACGAAGCCCTTCGTCAAGTGACTCGCCTAATAGCCTTTTTTTTCATAAAAATCATCTCAGAGCGCTTTTATTCATAAGTCATTATTGTGCATATTTTTTAATCTCGCAGCCTTTCTCGAACGCGATCTATGCGAATCAATAGCTTGTTAAAAAAAGCAGAGCAAAATCAGGAACTGCTAACTCAGCATCCGGCTATACAACAGACTTCCGTCACTCCTTACCCTCGTTGGTGTCATTTTCTGTAGAAATTCAAGTACATCCTGAAGGTACGCGCTGCCGGGTTTCACTGTTTTCGCCCTTGCACTCCTCCTTTTCCCAGGCCCCGACCTCACAACAATAGGTACGGCGTCATTTAGTTTGACCACCACTGCGTCAAGTGAAAAAAGGGGAGACATACATACATAGCTAAGTTTATTGCATAATGAACTAGTACATGAATTATCAAGGCCCGTAAAAGCACGTATGTGCTTGTGGGAGGGACACCCTTGCAGTGAATGGGATGTTAATTATTACTCTTACACAACACGAAACAAAATGCAAGTATGTTTTTGGCTAAAAAAAAGTGTAATATGGTACAAAACCAAATAAGTTACAAAATCTGTAAATTTTAAACTTTCAAAATCACAACATGCGAGTACACTCAACAACGCACCAAATTAAATCAAAACAACTAGAGGTTGCAAATTTGGTTAACCAGCAAAGTTATTGCACCATTCTCTTAGATAGCTCTTAACAATCCTAAGTGACTGCAATTCCAAATGTCGACCTGGCAACATGTTAGAATAATGTGGAACATACAAAAGCCGTACACTTTTACCGTAGGTTGTGAAATCCTTTAGCAGAATGGAGCGTTCTATTTTCCTCAGCACCCTTTGCTTTTTAGTGGCTGCTTAAACGTGTATTTGTAGTAATTGTGCATTAATATGGTATAGATATACAATTTGTTAACTGGCAAGATCCGTAGAAACCGCATCTTTAGGTCAGTTCCCAGTTCAGCAAATTTAGTTCCATACGCAGTGTTTCTTGCCAAGTTTCGCAGAATAATATCTCATTTTCTGTTTTATAATACGAGCACGAATCATAAACCGTTATTTCGTATCAGAGTAGAGACTCCCCCTGTGCCTGATGTGTCTTCTGTCAACTACGCCCACGCGCTCCCCATGACAGATGTTCATTGCAAAGAACGCTCTGATACCGATTAGATTAAACGTATTGTAGTATTGCGCACCTGCAGTTGTTGCAAGTGAATGGGTGAAAGACGAAGGGGAACAAAATTTTATTGTTTGCGCGGGTTGTGAAAGCACATTAGCTTCGTTTTGTCGACGTTTCCAAAAATGAGGTTGCTAGTAAACCACGCCGTTGGGTGCAATACATTATTTTGAAACGATGATGTAGCTTCGAATTCGTCATGTTTAGCTAAAGCCAAAGTGGTATCGTCGGGGTACTGAAATACCCGCGAGGAAAAGTGAAGCTTCCCAATTTCATTAACGTGAATGTTGAAAAGGAGCGGTCCTAAAATGGATATCTCGGGAACACGTACCTTAGTGTTACCGACTTACTCTCAGCGTCACCAATATTTACTAGCTGTTGACGCCCTGATAGGTAGTCATTCGGGAAGTCATTAATTGGGCCTCTGAAACCCAAAGGCTCTGATTTATGTTCAGGCAACCTGTGAGCAACTGCATCAAATGCCTTTTTGAGGTATAGAAAAGAAGGTAGCACAAACTTGTTAAGATCAATATTTGCGTCGATGTGATCGGCCACGTCTTCTAGTGATGATTGTGTGCCTGTGGTTTAGCGAAAGCCGTTCTGGGAACCACAGTAAAAATATTTCTCACGGAAAGCCGTCATTGTTTTAAAGACAAAAATTTTCCTGACTAGAGATACCACTAATAACATTGAAAAAAGGCCCGTAATTCAGCAGGTTCTTTTTACTTCCTTTCTTAAGGATAGACCTTACAACTGCAACTTTTAGGACGCTGGGGATTCTACCCGTTGGAAGAGATGAGTTGATTATTTTCAGCAGCACGTATTTAAGTATGCTAAAGTTAGCCAACATGTCTTTCAAGCGAATACTGCCATCCTCAGGGGCCTTGGCCGTGGTAATATTGTTTATAACCAGACTTAAATCCACTTCTGTCATCTGCGGAAGATAAGCTGAGTTGGCTCAACCCTCCGCAGGATCGGTGGAATGATTTCTGTAACCAAACCCCGACACTTGGAGGGTTTCGACACCTCGACCAAATAATTTATTAAACCTGTCGCATAAAGATTGTACATCCGTCTCTCCAAAAGCTTTTTTGATTAAGTGATAATTATTTGTTTTAGCTCTCTTCACAACGAGCTCATGTATAATATCCCATGCTTTTCTGTGGTTCTCACATTGATGCTCCAAACTTGCTTTAATGGTCTCGAGAAACATAACCATATTTGTTTTTCCGTTGCAGCGTGGTTGCCCACCAAGTACAGGGAATAAATTTCACAGTTTATGAACATTTACTTTTTTTACATATATTATTTGTTGGCACCACTTCTCTTCCCAATCATCGCATCAGCATTGTCGTAGCACTGGGACACACAAGAGTGTAAATTCATTTTGTTTTTAGCTTTCACATGATTACATCTACGAAGCTTTTTTCATTTTTTGTCCTTGCGGTGGATAAAGGACGACTCTTCAGCACTGACAGGCTGTGGTCAAGATAACCTCCACGTATTGTCACGAATGACAAGTGATGAGGCGACGAAAACTGAAGTAAACTAAACGTTTAATGGGGCGAACTTGTGCTCAATTTAATGAAAGAAAAAGGGAACAGAGGAAAGCAGGAGACCGTCGCGGGCATCGATGTAGGCGAAATCGCAGGATCGAGGGCTGGGGCGATACTGACTGCAAAGCGCCCCGCGGAGCCCCTCACGTACTTGCGTTGGCTTCTGGAACAATCGGCCTAGAACGTTCGGCGACGAGAACATTCGGAACTCGATCAGTCGAGAATGTTCACAAACTCACGAGAACGCAATGTTGAATGAATAAATAAATGAACACTCCAGCGACTGTAATTGAACATAGACTTTCCGCATGACAGTCAAGCGCGGCAACCACACGGCCACGCACGCGGTCGCTTGCCGACACGAGTGGCATTTGTTCACGATGTGCTTTATCAGGAGTGTTCAGCTTTTGACATTCGTTCACGATGTGCCTTATCAGGAGTGTTGTGTCAGACTTACCACCGAATTCAGAAACCTCACTCAAACTACACTCAAACTGAAGGGCCCCTCCACTTCCTCGAGGAAGGCGTGACGGCCGGCGCTGGCCAATCGCGAGGACGGATCCGCCGTCGCGATTGGCCAGCGCCGGACCTCGCGCCTTCCTCGAGGAAGTGGAGGGGCCCTTCAGTTTGAGTG